TATCCTAAAGAATAGTAAAGCCAAAAAAATGTTCAAACTACCACACAACTGCACTCACTTCACAGCTTAGCACCATTATTCTCAAAACCTTTCAATCTAGCCTTTAGCAGTACATGAACTGAGAACTTCCAGATGTAGAAACTGTGTTTCAAAGAGGCAGAGGAACCAGAAATCAAATTGCCAGCATTCCTTGGATCATGGAGAAATCAAGGGAGCTCCTGAAAAACATCTACTTCTGCTTCTTGACTACACTAAGGCCTTTGTGTGGATCACAACAAACTGTGGAAAAAATCTTAAAGGGATGGAAGTCCCAGACACCTTATCTGTCTGCTGAGAAACCTGTATAGGGGTCAAGAAGCACTGTTAGTACCAGAAATGGAAAATCGACTGGTTCCCAATTGGGGAAGAACTAAAACATGACTGTATATTTTCACCCTGCTTATTTACCGTCTGTGCAGAGTTGTTGTTGTTCAGTCCCTCAAGTCATGTCTGACTCTTTGAGAGTCCACGCACTGCAGCACGCCAGGCTTCCCTGTCCTTCACCATCTCCCGGAGTTTGCTCAGACTCATGTCCATTGATTTGGTGATGCCACCCAACATCTCATCCTCTGTTATTCCCCTTCTCCTGACTTCAGTCTTTCGCAGCATCAGGGTCTTTTCTGTCAGTCCTCAGGTGGCCAAAGTACTGGAGGTTCAGCTTCAGCATCAGTCCTTCCAATGAATATTCAGGGTTGATTTCCTTTAGGATTGACTGGTTTGATCTTCTTGCAGTCCAAGGGACTCTCAAGAGTCTTCTCCAGCAACACAGTTTGAAGGCATCAATTCTTCAGTGCTCAGTCTTTTTTATTGTCCAGTTCTCACATCCATACATGACTACTGGAAAAACCATAGCTTTGATTATATGGACCTTTGTCGGCAAAGTAATGTCTGTGTTTTTTTAATACGCTGCCTAGGTTTGTCATTTCTTTTCTTTCAAGAGACAAGCATCTTTTAATTTCACAATTGAAGTTACTGTCCACAGTGATTTTAGAGCCCAAGAAGATAAAGTCTTCCACTGTTTCCATTGTTTCCCCATCTATTTGCCATGAAGTGATGGGACCGGATGCCATGATCTTAGTTTTTTGAATGTTGAGTTTTAAGCTAGCTTTTTAACTCTCCTCTTTCACTTTCATCAAGAAGCTCTTTAGTACCTCTTTGCTTTCTGCCATAAGGGTAGTGTCATTTGCATATCTGAGATTATTGATATTTCTCCTGGCAATCTTGATTCCAGCTTGTGCTTCATCCAGCCTGGCATTTTACATGAGGTACTCTGCATAGAAGTTATATAAGCAGGGTGACAATATACAGCCTTGATATACTCCTTTCCCAGTTTTGAACCAGTCTGTTTTCCACATTCGGTTCTAACTGTTGCTTCTTGATCTACATACAGATTTTGCAGGAGGCAGGTATGGCGGTCTGGTATCCCATCTTTTTAAGAATTTCCCAGTTTGTTGTGATCCACACAGTCTAAGGCTTTAGCATAGTAAATGATGCAGCAGTAGATGATTTCTGGAATTCTCTTGCTTTTTCGATGATCCAATGGATGCTGGCAATTTGATCTCTGTTTCCTCTGTCTTTTAAAAATCCAGCTTGTACATCTGGAAGTTCTAGTACTCATACTGTTGAAGCCTAGCTTGAAGGATTTTGAGCATTACTTTGCTAGCATGTGAAATGAGTGAGTGCAATTGTGCGGTAGTGAACATTCTTTGGCATTACCCTTCTTTGGGGTTGGAATGAAAACTGACCATTTCCAGTCCTGTTGGCACTGCTGAGTTTTCCAAATTTACTGACGTATATTGTCACACCAGCAATCCTAAAAGAAATCAACTCTGAATATTAACTGCAAGGATGGAAGCTGAAGCTGAATCGCCACCTGATGCAAAGAGCCAACTCATCGGAAAAGACTCTGACGTTGGTAAAGATTGAAGGGAAAAGGGGAAGGTGATACCAGAGGATGCGATGGTTAGGCAGCATCACTGATTCAGTGGTTATTATTATTGTTGTTTAGTGGCGTGGGTAACTCTTGAAGGTGGAGAAAGATTCTCCCTTTATCTGTGACCTTAAACTTCAAATGATTTGTTGTGTGATGCAGCCCAATGTGGGAGTAATCCTTGAATACAGTAAAACATTAAACACCAATAAGAACTTCTGCATTTAGTGGAGGAAACTTGTCAGTATTTATGAAGAGAAATAAAGAATTTTATTTCTGTGCCTAATGGCACCACCTTGGTCAGAATCTGTTGAAGAAAGCTGTTTGAGGAAACAGTAATGATCTAAATACACTGGGAAAGTGGTCAATGAAATTTTGATTTGGCTTCTAAGATGCCTGAGGGCTTCCCAGGTGGCACACTAGTAAGGAATCCACCTCCAAATAAGAAACACAGGAGACTTGGTTTTGACCACTGGGTGGGGATGATCCTCTGAAGAAGGAAATGACCACCCATCCCAGCATTCTTGCCTAGAAAATTCCATGGACAGAGGATCCTGGTGGACTACAGTCCATGGGGTCATAAAGAGCTGCACACGGCTGAGCATGCAGTCATACACTGATTTGACTCCCGAAAAATGACTGGGGAAATTTGCCACCTGCAAAGTGTCCTCGGTAAGACAAGAAAAACAAAACTTACAGGAAACCTCTTCTGGTAGCAACTGCCTCTGGATGGCAGGGTTATTTGGGACTTAACCAGGTTTTTTTCTTCCCTGGCTCCAAGTCCCAAAGAGCCTGCAGTGCCCACCCTCGTTGCCTCTCAGTCTTGAAAATGTCTGATCCAAGGAAATGTCAGACCTCTCCTCTTCTCCCATTCTTAGATTTAGTCTTTTCATGCCATTTGTTACCTCGATCACAACTTTCTGGAGGAAAAAAGCCATCTAAGTTGAGAGTGACTCCTCTGAGCCACTCTTCCTTTGCTATGTTTTTATAAAACTTTGTCTTCCTGATTTTTGTTTGCCTGGCTCTTCATTGCTGTGCAGGCCTTTCTCTAGTTGTGGTGAGTGGGAGCTACTCTTCCTTGTGGTGCCCAGGCTTCTCATTGTGGCTTCTCTTGTTGTAGAGTGCAGGCTCAGTAGTTGTGACTCCTGGGCTTAGTTGCCTTGGAGGATGTGGCATCCTCCTGGATCAAAGATCAAGCTGGTGTCTCCTGCATCTGCAGGGCAATTCTTTACCTCTGAGTCACTAAGGAAGCCTTCTTTACTACCTCAACATCAGCTCGAATAACGTCTTTAAACTTCCCTGTTTCCAAAAATATAAAAATGAAAAGAAACTTTTATTTTACATTGTTGGTATCATTCCCATTGTCCCTTTAGGAATGCCCAGCTTCAACCTGTCCAGGCCTATTCTTACTTCTCACTGAGAAGTGTCCTGATCTGTCCACCTTCAGAGAAGACGTGGCTTAAGACGTGACCACATCTTGGACAGCTCCTCCCTTGCTGCCTGAATAGGCTCACAACATCCTGTGTTTCTTACATAACACCTGAGTGACAAGCTGATACAGGGATGAGTGTATTTTGTTTTCTTTGGGAACAACATCGCTGCTTTCATGAAGCTATTTTAATTCAGGGCCATTTTGCTAATTTTAACTTCATCAAAATTCCCCCAATAATGATAGTTTCAACTTTTTTTTTTAATTCAATGTTACGAACCAATAATCCTTTCCTGTCTGACCCTCAACAGTATAACTGTCCATATTGGTTGAATTCAGTCAATGTTTGGGGAGTGAATCAGGGAATAGGTCCTTGATTACTCAGCTACCTGACCATTCTCTCCTTCCTGAATGTATATAAGATTCAATGAACTAACCTAGTGAAAAATGAAGATCCAATCAGGATTTATCCAATGGGCACTCTATAATCTAATCAGGTATCCCTTTTTGATTGGGTTAGTAGTGGGACAGAGGGATGATGGGAATAGAAAGGACTATAAAATCCTCAAGCACTGGAGAAGAAGTGCAGAGTTTTTTGGTTCTGCAAACACCAACCATCTGGGTTCTTTACAGAGTCTGAGGTCTGAGCGCCCTGCCAGTCGTAGTAGAACAGTAAGTTACCACCCTCAGAAAGGATGTCCTTTTCTTACTTATAGTTAGCTAATGTTGAAGGGTAGTGTGTATCTGTGGATGGCAAGCAGAGTTTTCAGAAAAAATCATTTCTCTCCCAAGAGCACATTTCAGGTTTTCATTTTTCCTCTCAGTGTAGTTCTGTCTGAAACGCAAACATTTTGATTTGTGACTTAACTGGTATCATTTTAAATGTCTTTACCAAGCGGATATTTTTAATGAAGCACATCTGTTTGGAATTTTATTTCTTGAAACTTAAGACACATATTTAGTTCACAAATGGCATTCATCTTAAGAATAACTAACAGTGGAGGCTGTGTGACTCCACATGACTCTCCTCTTCCCATAGAGTTAGAGCTCTAAGTGATGGTCGGAATATTTTCCCCAAATAAAGATGGAGTCAGCAGCTTTCATGCACTTCAGTATGCATTTCTAGGTGGGACATGAATTAAGCAAAGCAGTAGATGGACCTGAACTGGCCAGTGGTTGCCTTTTGCCTCCTCAGTACTAGCGATCTCGCTAGTTCATATTCAGGATAAAGAAAGAGTTAACACCTTGTCCCCCTCTGACCCCTGCCTAGTGTAATATGGCTAAGGGCCTCACTTGCATCCCATCTGGAGCAGTGACCTTGGCCCTGAGTGGATTCCTTGGAAAGGTAGGGAGACTGCCTAAGGTGTGCTCCTGAATTGCCTAAAATGGACCCCCTGTTCCCTGGCAGTTTCAACAGGAGTTATTTTGGAGCAGAGTCAGGATGAGTATCCAGACCCCACCCAGACTGCTTGACCTGGCGGGAGTGTGCCTGCTGAGAGATGATGACTTGGCCTCTTCTGCTCTGGAGAGTCTGCCCATGGAGCTCTTCCCGCCCTTTTCCTGGAAGCCTTCCATGGGAGACGTGTTGAGACCCTGAAAGCCATGGTGCAAACCTGGCCCTACGACAGCCTGCCTCTGGGGGCCCTGATTGACCCGCCCCATGTGGGGCCCCTACAAGCCGAAAGCACTCGATGTCCTGCTTGTCCAGAAGGTCTGATCCAGGTGAGCCTGACTTGGGTAACCTGGTAAACTCCTGGGAGTCCCAGGGGAGACAGCTGGGTTGAGGGAATGTGGATGAAAAGGGATGGATCAGAGAGTTCTAAGATGGCAATGACGAAGCCTTGGCTTGCTGTGGGAACTACCTTTTGGAAGCATAATAGTGCCTTTAATGAAGGGTAGCCTGAAAGAATATTCTCCAACCCCTCTCAGTCATGCTTAGAGTTACTAGAAGTAGAGAATCAGAAAGGATAAGAGGGCAAAGAGGAAAGGGAGGCAGAGAAGGAAGAAGGTAAGGCAACTGGTGACGTCAGGAATGTTAAGTTACAGCACAGGTGGGCAGTCTGTTTTCGAATTATGAGGCTTTTTTTTTTACTCTGTGTACCTTTTAATACATCCTAATCAATCTGCTTCTCCCCTCGGTAGGAGGTGCAAACTGCGGGTGCTAGATTTAGGAAATATACTGGCCAGAACTTCTGGAGCATGTGGTCTGGAGCCAACAGTTATGGGTGCTCAAGCTCAGGAATGGCACCAGTGACTGAGCCCAGGTCAATGACAAAGCAGCACTTGGCTCCACTGAAGATTTTTATGGACCTGTGCCTGAAGAAAAAGACCCTGGACAACTTCCTCACCTACTTCCTTTGGTGGGTGGAGCAGAGAAAGTCTTCCATCCACCTGTGTTGTTAAGAAACTGATGATTGTTTCAACACCAATGGAAAATATCGTGAAGGTCCTGAGCATGGTGCAGCTGGACTGTATCCAGGAGGTGCAAGTGAATTGCACCTGGAATCTGCCCATCCTGGCCACATTTGTTTGCTCCTTTCCTGGGTGAGACGAGTAATTTGCAGAGAATCCACTTTTTCCCCATCCATATGTCTGCCTTTAAGAAGCAGGAACAGGATTACCTCCAAGTGCAAATTACCTCCCAGTTCCTGAGTGTGGGCCACCTTTAGGATCTCCATCTGGAGTCTCCCTCCTTCCTTGGAGGCTGCCTGGACCAGATGCTCAGGTGAGTGTGGACCTTTGACTGGGTAACGTTGAGCATTAGAATGTCAAAAGCATTGTCTCCTTTGTTGCTGTCTCCTAGGATGTGGTGTTCCACAACCACAGAGATCAAAGTAGGGGGTTACACTGGTCTAGTGGCTCTTGTGAGACACCCTGCTAGAAAGATACAGATTAGTGACTGGGATGTTTGCATCCCCGAGTTGGTAATTTCCTCCTTTGGAGGTGTCTATATTGAAATGATAAAAATAGGTAAGTAAAAAGGACATTGAAGTGGGGAAATTACATCAGATTAGATCAGAGGATTCTTGAAGAGAAACTCTGTGCTCCCAGAATTGGTGCCCACAATGAAACTGTTCTAAATTCCCTGTCTGTAAAAGGGTGTTTTGTATTCTAGGTAAGTTAACTGATACATGGGAGAAGCATGGTTCTGCAGATGATGTTAATCAAACTGAGAGAAAAGGATTATAAAAAATGATAGAAAGATTGCAGATGATGCAGAAATGTGAGCCCTTTTTGACTGGCATCATATTTCATGTTGTGGGATCTTGTGTAAATTGTTCCTTCTGCATGCTTCCCTAGAGCCTCACCTGGCCAGAGATACAGGATCTGTAGCTCAACGTTGGATTTAATGAAGCCGTACCTGAAACAATTTTAAAATCTCGTCTCCCAACACTAATATTCAGTGATGTCCACACTTGGTGGAGACTCTCTCTGGATTGCCTCATAGCATGTTCTTGTGATTACATGATCTTCATTCATCCTCAGAAGGAAGTGGAGTATGTTGTACTCTGCTTGATAGGTGAGGGGAGAGTGTGTTTCAGATACTGTGAAGTGACTCAGTACCTTAGTGAGATTGACAGCCCTCAGACTACAATGAGACTGGGCAAATCAGCATATTGACCCTCAATAGACATTCAGATGAAACTTAGCCCTGTAGAAACCATTTGTCTATCACCTGTACACAACCTGGCACCCGGTTCCCAAGAAGTAATTGTTTTGTTTCTCCCCATGTGCCTGAAGTCCCCCTTGGACAGCCTGTCAATAACCAAGTGCGGGCTTACAGAATCAGACTTGACCCACCTGTGCCAGAGCCCAGACATCAGTCAGCTAAAGAGCCTGGATCTGAGCGGTGTCACCATGACTGACTTTAGGCCTGAGGTCCTCCAAGTTCTGCTGGAGAAAGTCGCAGCCACCATGCAGGAACTGGACTTCGATGTGTGTGGGATCACAGACTCCCAGCTGGAGGCCTTCCTGCCTGCCCTGAGCCGCTGCTCCCAGCTCAGGTCCTTCAGCCTGTGTGGGAATGTCCTGTCCATGGCCGGCATGGAGAAGCTGCTGTGACACAACGCTGTGCTGCCCTGCTTAAGGCAAGAGCGTTATCCTGCCCCTCAGGAGACTTACAGACCTCGGGGTGTTCTCCTGGAAGCGAGACTTGCTCAGCTTCGGGCTCAACTGTTGGAGATTCTGAGAGACTTGGGACGTCCCAGGATCATCTGGATTAGCCTCAGCCCCTGTCCTCGCTGTGGGGAGGCTATATGCCATCACATGGAGCCCATTATATACAGCTGTCCTGCCCCTGCCTAGGGGGTTGCCTCTATCAGAAGCTTTCTTCTGTGCACCTTGAAACAGAAATCTAGAACTTGGAGATATCATGAAGGGAATACATATCTATGGGTTCAGATATCTGCTCAATGCGAATGGGAAAAAGAAAGGTGATAGTGGGGGTGGTGCAGAATTGGAGAGGGATTTGTAGAATCTGGGAGGGGATGGGACTTTCATGGACATGTGCTTCTAGAATCTGATATGAACCTGAGTGGATACACGTTGGAGACCCACGTGTTAGAGTTATCCTTGGGAAGATAGTTGTGAAGAAATTGTCAGGAAATATCATATGACATCCCTTATATGTGGAATCTAAAAAGATATGATACAAATGAATTTACTGGCAAAACAGAAAGAGACTCACAGACTTAGAAAGCAAACTCATGGTTGCTGGGGGGACAGGGTGGTTGGGGACTCTAGGAAGGTCATGTACACAGAGCTATATTTAGAGTGGATAACCAAAGGGAACCTATTGTATAGCACATGGAACGCTGCTCAATGTTATGTGCCAGACTGGATGGGAGGGGGATTTAGGGGAAAATGAGTGAGTGAAGTTGCTCAGTCAAGTCCACTCTGAAACCCCATGGACTGTAGCTCCCAGGTTCCTCCATTCATGGGATTTTCCAGGCAAGAATACTGGAGTGGGTTGTCATTTCCTTCTCCAGCGGATCTTTCCAACCCAGGGATCAAACCTGGGTCTCCTACGCTGCAGGCAGACTCTTTACTGTCTGAGCTACCAAGGGAGAAGTGATAGATGTATATGTATGATTGAGTCACTTTGCTGTTCACCTAAACTATCACAACACTGTTAATTGGCTGTACTCCAATAAAAATGTTTTTGGTGTTAAAAAAAATAAAAATTAAATTAAAAAATTAAAAAAATGAGAAATTATCAGGAATAAAGAGATCTCCCAGCTGACATAAATAGGAAGGAAATCTAAAATGAGAATGGATAAGTGTATAGATACGACTTATTTATTTTGTTGTATAGCAAGAAAACAATAGGACATTATAAAGCAAATCTACTCCAATAAAAACTAATTAAAAGAAATAAATAGACACTCATAGAAAACCAACTGCTATCCTCCATGATATATTATTCTGTGTTCAGTTATTGCCTCAGCTTTCTCCAGTTACTGATAAAAAAAAAAAAAGGCACAGTGTTGTCCATGATTCAAAACCTTACCATTCTTATAATTTCTTTATTCTTTCTGGGGCATCTTCTGTGTGTGTGTGTGTGTGTGTGTGTTTGCTTAGTCAGTCAGTCATGTCTGACTGTATGCAACCCCTTGGACTGTAGACAGCCAAGCTCCTCTGTCTGTGGAATTCTCCAGGCAAGAACACTGGAGTGGGTTGCCATTTCCTTCTCCAGGGGATCTTCCTGATTTGAGGATCAAACCTTGGTCTCCTGCGTTGCAGGCTGATTCTTCACTGTCTGAAGCACAATGTAAGCCTCCCCGGGGCAGCTCTTACCTCCTTTATTACTTCTGTGACTGTTCAGCAGGGTCAATACACACAAGGGGGAACAAACTCAGTATCCAGTGAACTATTGGTGTGATGAGCTTTTGGAGGGCTCTCACTGCTGACACAGGCCATGACCTTGGGTATGGGTATCTTTATGCTTCTACCAGTCAGAGTATAAGTCACAGTTTCTTGCCTTTGTGTGTGCTTCACTTCAAAGGCAAGGTCCTCATTTCTGCAAGATGTTTTCCCCACTGCCCAAAAGGTTGAAACTGGTTTTACCATTTCATGCCTGCCATGGGTGGATAGTATTCTTTATAGATATAATCGAGTGGTGGGCAGACTTCAAAATTTCTTGTAGTAAAATGCCAGAAAAGCAAAAACATTTAACATGGATTTATTTCCATACTGCATTCCAGAATTATATCATTTTCGGTGGTTGGTCACATCTGAATTGGCTGATAATTCCCATTACAATTCCAGTCCCTCCCTATCAGAAAAAGTCAAGGACAGCTTTTCTGGTTATCAGAATGTTCAAATATATAACAAATATTATGTTACACATTACATGTAACTCAGAGTCGTCTCTCCCTATCCTCAGTTCATCATCCTCAGATTCAACCAACTACATATGATGTAGACAAAATTCACTCACTTAAAAAAAAAAAATCCTCATTGAAGTGAGTCTGAGCAGTTCAACCACATGTTGTTCAAGATATACCTGTTACATAGACAGGTGCAGAGAGGCTGATATGATTATAGAAGCTTAACAGTCCCACTGTCTGCTGTCTGTTGCCTAGAGAACTAGAAAAAACTGTGGTTTAATTCAGACCTTATCTTAAGTTTGAAAAGCAGTGGACATGATGGTCAAGGCTAAAGGCCTGAGAACAGAGGCACCACTTGTGTATGTCCTAGAGTCTCAAGGTTCAGGAGCCAGAAACTCCAGTATTCATGGCCAAAGAGAGAGGGAGAGCAGTAGCCCTTCTTTCGTCAGGCCCCCACAGGGTAAGACGGTGCCCTCCCACACTGGTGAGGGCTGATCTCTTGACTCAGTCTACTGATTCCAATGCTAATCTCCTCCAGGAATTCCCTTGCAGATTCCCCCAGAATGAATGATTAACCTGAGAACTGGGCATTTCATCTTACAGTGAAGTTGACACATAAATTTAATCCTCACAGTGTGTTTAAACAAAATGCAACCAAATAAAGTTTCCCTGCTAGGGATTCAGAGGCTACAATTGCTTATTCTGGGGAGGAAGGGGATATAGGGCTGGAATTATAGCTTTAGGCAGAGCTTTGATTTCCCCCTACAATGAATATAATGATGCACACATTGTTTGTGGGATTTTTAGTAAAATCCAGTGATATATTGCTTGTTGAGGGCTTTACCCTGAAGTTGTTGAGCAACAGCCCCTTATTATGTAAGAACTTCACAAGGTGTTGTTTTGTTTGGTTTACAATCTTCTTCCCTATAGTGAACAACATTACTCTTCATCCCTTGAACTTACCCTCTATTGCTGACAACAGTGAGGAAACCAAACCCCAGGGACTGAAACTGGCCTCACATATTTCATGCCATCACCAGTGAATCAGGATTCACCCAAGCTGTTCCAATAGCCAGTGCAGGGGGACTGGGGGAGGGAGGGCATAGGAGAGACTGGATTCATCTTCAGTGATATACATTCTGAGCCCCAGGTCTCCTAGGCCTCCTGCTGGTAGATCAGACCCAGAGGATAGAAATCAATTTTGTAATCAGGACAATATACTTTAGCACTTTCAATAAGTCTTGCTATCCTGTAACTTTTCTTGTGGTCCAGGGGGTATGACTCCATGCTGCCAAAGGGCCCAGGTTCAATCTCTGGTCAGGGAACTAGATCCCAAGTCCTGCAACTAAGTGTTTGTATGCCACAATTAAAAGATCCTCACACTTCTCAGGTGGCGCAGTGGCCAAGAATCCCCCTGCCAATGCAGGAGACCCAGGAGATGTGGGTTTGATTCCTGGGTTGGTAAGAACCCTTGGAGAAGGAAATGGCAACCCATTCCAGTATTCTTACCTGGAAAATTCCATGGACAGAGGAGCCTGGGGTGCAGAGTCGGATGTGACTGAGCACACACTCACACATACACATGGTCACAAGATCCCAAGAGGGCAACTAAGACCAGGCACCGCCAAATAATCAAATAAATAAATACTTAAAAAATTGTACTGTCTTGTAAATGCCACTTGTGTATAAATACTTGCATAAAGATTTATATACACAATTTCTCTAAAGGTTATTGAGGTAATATAGTATTGTTAAGAATGCATGTGAGTAATTTAAAAACGTTTTACTGCTTTGAAGCCACAAAAAGACAAATGAGACTTTAAAACTGATTTTAACCATAAATGAACAAGATTTGCTTCTTTAAAAAACATGTACACCAATAAAATTTTGAGCCAGAAGTCTTCTAAGTATATTTTTGAAAGTAGACATTATATTTTAGAGCAGTTTTAGGTTTACAATAATATTGCATAAAATGTACAGAAAGTTTTGTGAAATGAAAAGATCTGCCATTTCAATAAAGAAGAAATGTTGCAGCCACCAATGATTTCTGGCCTCCAAATGTGAATGAGGGCTCCCAAACCTCCAATCCAGCAGATGTCGCCACTCCCCAGGGTGGTTGCTGAGGAGCTGGAGGACTGCAAGGAGCAGCCGTCTGCCATATCTGCCACCCCTTAAGGTGAAGGAGGAAACAGGATTTGACCCCAGAGAGCTGAGGTGCTTATGGTGAGCCCAGAGGCTTCCATCTTCCTATACATACAATGCTAAATTCCTTAACTTTGAAGAGGAAAATTCAAAACTTAACATCCAGGTAGAAATCACTTCATGCCTATTCTGCTTCTGTAACTCAGCTTGCTCCTTGCAAAGTCACTAAGTTACATAGTTTCTGGTCCGACACCCGCCCGCTCCCCCGCCCCCCGCGGGGAATAGAAATTTACAACAATGCTAGGAGCTGAAATTTACCTCACTGCCCCTTGTCCTACTTTTGCAATTACCCAGCCCCTGTAATCCTGTCTAACCCTTGTTTGTGTAAAGGTCAGGCACCCACCACCTACCCCCGCTCCCCCAGCTGTGTCCTAACGGCTGTTCCTGCTTGTGGGAAGCCCTTAGTTTAGCCTATTAACAGTCAGCACTGCTCACTAAAGTCTGATGTCATGCACTGCCTATAAAAATTTTGTAACCCCTTTCTTCAAGGTTCAGGGCTGGAAGTGTTAACTCCTCTGGGCCCTCCAGTGTAATAAACCTGAGTTCTCCTGGGTGTGGTGCTTGGGTACTGGAAGGTCCGACTTCTGCAACAACTTGATATCTGATTTTTGTTTTTTTTAACCTCACAATAATCTTTGATGTTCAGACTGCCTGCTCTCTCTGTTACAAACTTGTATATAACCTCCCCCTGGCCCAGCCCCACCCTCCCCCAACAGGTTTCTCAGAGCTACTGAAACTATGTATCCCAGGCTTCTTATTTTACTCATGGACTGTAGCCCGCCAGGCTCCTCTGTCCTTTGAATTCTCTAGGTGAGAATACTGGAGTGGGTTGCCATTTCCTTCTCCGGGGTATCTTCCAGGGATCAAACCCAGTTCTCCCACATTGCAGGAGGATTCTTTACTGTCGGAGCCATCATGGAAGCGCAGGGTTGGGTCGTAAGTATTCCCACCAAATAAAATAATTCTCTATTTTCAGGTGGTGACTAATATTTTAGTTGACAGTTTCCATCTAATTCCTGGAACTCAGGTGAGTGGGGACAGGACGCTGTGGGTTGGGAAAAGGTCTTGGAAGAGCATGTCATATGACAAAAAAATGCACAACCTCAGACATCTGAAATATGTGTTATTTGGTTACTTTACAGAAGATTAGAACTGTTCAGAAGTTTCAGGGGGAGCCAGAGTACCTAAGGTCATTTGCTGATAAAACATTCAAAAAACATCAAAAGATTATTGCTTATGATTAAAATGATACATCTCAAATTAATGATTTTCACACATTTAAAAATTATTTTTTCATTTTTTTACTTTAATTTTTTTTACTTATTTTGTCTGTACTAATTCTTCCTTGCTGAGCACAGCCTTTCTCTTGTCTGGCAAGCAGGTACTTCTCTCTGGTTGAAGTGTGTTGGCTTCTTATTTTGATCACTTCTATCATTGCAAAACATGGGCTCCAGGACGTGTGGGCTTCGGTAGTCATGGCTCCCAGGCTCTAGCTGAGTGCTCAGTAGTTGTGGAACATATGTTTAGTTCCTCCACAGCATGTGGGATCTTTCCAGACCAGGGATCCAGCTTATGTCCCTTGCACTGGCAGGTGGTTTCTTAGCCACTGGACCAGCAGGGAAGTTCCTTTTCATGCTTTTTTATGTATGGAAAGAGACAAGAGTCTGGGTTTATTGAAGTCATCCATATGATATGCATCTTAACCTCCACAGGACATCAACTACTTTTCTCCTCCTTGAATTCCCCTCAGAGCACAATGTCTAGGGGGGAGGGAGGCTGCAGTGGATAATGGCCTTTTGGCTGCAAGAACCATTGTTTACTGCATGGCAACTGAAATATTTGTCCCCAAGGAAAAGCTTAGGAGAAGACCACAAGTGAAACTGAGAGAGAATGTCTATTGAGTCCCCTCTTGCTGAACCTGTTCACTGGGTTACAGAAGTGAAGCAGGGAAAACATTCTTTGTTTGACCAAAATTTTTGTAGGCTCATGGACCTTCTCCTAGAATTACCTGAGAGCTTCCTTGTAAAAATCAGTTTGAACAAGAATTCTAAGTCAGTTCAGCAAGAAATCCCACTCTTGTTATCTGATCACTCCAGGAATCTGATCAGAATTCCTAACTGCCCACTATTAATATCTGGTCTAGATGGGGTGCACTCAGCAAAACATCTATTAGGTTGGTTCAGCCAATATCCTTTGCAGACCTGATGTCTCCTCTTATTGGAGATTCTTTAAAAAACTGGAAATAGAACTGCCATATGACCCTGCAATCCCACTCCTGGGCATACACACCGAGGAAACCAGATCTGAAAGGGACATGTGCACCCCAATGTTCATTGCAGCACTGTTTCAACCATATTGAAGGCAGGAAGAGAAGGCTATGACAGAGAATGAGATGGTTGGATGGCATCACCGACTCAATGGGCATGAGTATGAGCAAGCTTCGGGAGTTGGTGATGGACAGAGGAGATAGGAATGCTGCAATCCATGCAGTCACAACGAGTCAGACAGACTGAGTGACTGAGCTGAACTGGAGGGGGCCTGGCCAACCAAGCCCCAGGCTTAACAACATTCCAAGTTTTACAAGACAAAGCAAACAGCATCAACAGGAAACCAGCCTTACAGTTTGATGATGATTCCATCCTGGGATTATAAGCAGGAACCTTGAACTGCAATTTTGATGTCTCACCCACGGAGTTAATGCTCTGCCTGTGACCTTTTCCTTTTGGGACTCCAGATGTGCTGTGACAGGGGACTTCCCAGCGCTGATTAAGTCTGGATGTTGGTCAAAACCCAATTTGGTAATGTATGCTCTGCTGTTTCTATTTCTCTTTTCTTTTAATGTTAGTATATTGAAAGTAAGCTAGATAATTCTCTAATAAATATTTGTATTATTTATTTGTATACAACGAGTGGTTTATTGTGTTAACAAATTCTTTGAACATGAGACGAGAGTGAAAATTTTGGCAACACACACAGCCCATAAAGACTCCGACCTTGTGGGAAGAAGCCTGCTGAGGGGTGAGGCCTACGCCATTTCTGCTTTGGCATTTCTACTCACAGAGCTCTTCACACCCCTCTTCAGGAAAGCCTTCGATAGGAGATGCATTGAGACCCTGAAAGTCATGGTGCAAGCCTGGCCCTTTGTACACCTGCCTCTGGGGAACCCGATGGACATGCCACATGCAGGGTCTCTACAGGCTGTACTGGAAGCACTTGAAGGCCTGCTTGCCCAGAAGGTTCACTCCAGGTGAGTCTTATGTGAGTAACCTGGTAGAATCCTGGGTGTCCTGGAGGAGACAGCTGGGGTGAGGGAATGTGGCTGGGAAAGAATGGACCACTGGGATCTGAGGATGGCAGTGAAGAAGCCTAGAGGCCTTGGATCACTAAGAGAAATATCTTCTGGAAGCCAAAAGAACATTCCCTACCTTTTCCCAGTCCTGCTTAGAATTACTAGAAGTGGAGAATCAGAAAGGAGAAGAGGGGAAAGGGAGATGGAGGAAAGGGAGTCGGAGAGGGAAGAGGACAAGGCAGCCCGTGAAGCCAGGAATCTGAAGTTACAGCAGAGGAGGGCAGCGTGTAGCCAGATTCTATGCTGTAGCTTCTTTCTGGGTGGATTTTAATGCATCCCCACCAATCTTCTTTTTCCCTAATAGGAGGTACAAACTGAAAGGTCACGCTGACTGCCCCGGCCAAAAGGTCCCAGATAAGTACCAGGGACAGATATCCACCAATCAGCAGCCCGTTGCCAGGCAGACTGATGGACGCGAAGGTGCCAAGACTCTGGCCAATCAAGAAAAACCGACACGGGACAAAAGGCCAATCAGCACCCTAGAGCCTGACTCCAAGCGTATACGAAAAGGTCCCGCCGCTTCCGTATCCGCCAGGGTATATAGGTGCCGCCCCCCCTTCCCGCAGGTTGCAGACTCCCTTTGTCTCTTCACTCACCCGCCCCCGGGAGTTCTGCCCGAGAGCGATCGCCCAATAAAGGCCTTCATCAACGGTCCTTAGAGGTGGCTCTTTCTTCCCGCGGCGTTTTCTAACACAAACTACAGGTGCTAGATCTGTGGGACATTGGCCTAACTTCTGTAGCACGTGGTCTGGAGCCAGCACTTCCAGGTGTGCAAGTCAGGAAGAGCACCAGTGGCTGAGTCCAAGTCGATGGCAAAGCAGCACGTGGCTCCACTGAGGATTTTCATAGACCTTTCCCTGAAAAAAAGGACCCTGGACAACTTCCTCATCTACCTTCTCAGGTGGGTGGAGCAGAGAAAAGCTTCCATAAACCTGTGCTGTAAGAAGCTGAAGATCTTTGCAGTGCCATGGAAAATATCGCTAAGGTCCTGAATATGATGCAGCTGGACTGTATCCAGGAGGTGAATGTGAATTGCAGCTGGCATCTGTCCACCCTGGCCATGTTTGCTCCTTTCCTGGGCCAGGTGAGTCATTTACAGAGGTTCCGTCTCTTCCCCATCCACATGTCTGTCTGTGAGAAGCAGGAGCAGTATCACTTTGACCAAATCACCTCTCAGTTCCTGAGGCTGGGCCCCCTCCAGGATCTCCATCTGGAGTCTCCCTCCTTCCTTGAAGGCTGCCTGGACCAGTTGCTCAGGTGAGAGTGGACCACTGGCTGGGTAACACCGACATAACATTAGAGTATCAAAGGCCCTGTCTCCTGAAGTGTGGTGCCCCGTGACCACACAAATCAAGGTTGAGGGCTAACCTGGTATAGTAGCTCTTGAAAGGGACACCCTGCTAGGGAGGTATAGATTATTTGACTGAAATGTTTGGATTTGGCACTAGAAGGTTGATAACTTTTTCCTTCAGTAGAGGTGTCTCTGTCAAGTGACTTAAAATATAGAAAATACAAGGACTTTTACGTGTGGAAAACACATCAGAGCATTTCTGAGGAAAACCCTGTGATCACAAGGTTTGTCACCACAATGAGGATGTCTTAATTGACCTCTCTGTAAAAGACTGACTTGTGCTATAGACTAGGTAATTAATATAAGGGAAAACCATGATTTTGGAGATGATGTTAATTGAGCTGAGAGAAAAGGGCAATAGAAAGTGATACAAAATTTGTAGAGGATGCAGAGATGTAAGTGAGCCCCTCTAGACTGGTATCACATTTGAAGTTGTGGGATCGTGTAAGTTGCTTCTTTATACACATCTCCCTAGAACCTCACCTGTCCAGAGATGTAGGCATCTAGAGCCAACAGTGGACTGAAGGAAACCTTAGCCAAAATGATTTTTCTTCCCATCACACAGTAATAAAAATTAGGGATGTCCACACCTGATTGAGGCTGTGTCAGCCTCTCCTCTGAACACATTCTAGTGCATTGCATTATATTCATTCATCCTCCTAAGGAAGTGGAGTCATGTTGTACACTGCTTGATAGATGAGGGAGAAAACTTTCAAGGTTCTGTGAATTGACTCAGTTATATAGTGAAAGTGACAAGACTGAGCCTAGAATGAGACTGGGCAATCTGTTTTGACCTTCATCAGACTTGGTCAGACTTAACATTTGCCCTGAACAAACCATTTGTCTAATCACCTGTAGCCAGCTGGCACCCAGTTTCCAAGAACTAATTGGTTTCTCCCCAAGTGCCTAAGACGACCTTGGAAAAACCTCTCAATAACTGAACTTGGAGAAAGTTGCAACCACCCTCCAGGAACTGTACTTAGATGAATGTGGGAACAGGGACTCTCAGTTTGAGGCCAACCTGCCTACCCTGAGCCGCTGCTCACATCTCAAGTCCTTCAACCTAAGTAGGACCTCCTGTCCACGGCCGGCATGGAGAAGCTGCTGCAACACACCGCTGTGCTGCCCTGCTTAAGGCAAGAATGGTACCCTGCCCCTCAGGAGAGTTATAGCCCTCAGGGTGTTCCTCTGGAAGGCAGACTTGCCCAGCTTTGGGCTCCACTGATGGAGATTATGAGGAACTTAGTTCAGCCCAAGACCATCAGGATTTTCCCAAGTCCCTGTCCATACCATAGTGATGACATATACGATCATGTGGAGCCCATTATATAAAGCTTTATTAACCCTGCCTAGGTGGTTGCCTCTATTCAAACCTTTCTCTGGGCACTTGGAAACTGGCTTCTAGGATTTGGGGATTTCTTAACCTGAAAACACACCTGTGGCTTCAGACAGACATTAGTTTAATGTAATGAGAAAAGGAAAGGTGATGGGAGATTCAGGATTGCAGAGAGAAATATAGACTCGGGGAGGTGATGGGACTTTCTGGGGCATGTATTTACAGCATCAGAAAAATGAATCTAATTTTTTAGAGTAAACTTGGGATGTACATGTGGCATCATCCCAGAAATAAAGAAAACTTTGGTGTGTATGGACTGGTGCCCTTCCTGATATGACTTGTTTTCTCTGTTTCATCTCAGAAATCTTCAGTTACTGATGAAAGAAAGTGCACTGAATTGTCTATGATCTTCAAACCCCACTATTCCCACCAGTTCTCTATTCTGTCTGAGACATCTTTTGCCTCCTTACTTACTTCTGTGATGGCTCAGTGGGTTAACTGCACACAACAAGGAAAACATACTCATTCACCATGAACCATTGGTGTGAAGACTCTTGACAGGGTCCTCACTGCTGATTCAGGCCGTGAACCTGGACACGAGCAGTTCTCATTGTTCTCCCAGTGATTCCACATAGGTCTCAGTTTCTCCTTCTGTGCTGTGACATGGCTTCACTTCACAAGTCAAGACTCTCAGTTCTGGAAGGCATCATCCAAGGACCCCTTGTCCTTACAACCCATGCCTGTCATGAGTGTGCAGTTGTGACCAGTAAAGATATCCATTTCCTTTTGTCTTAATACTGAAATCATACAGGTGCATCACTTGGTTTTAGTATTTCTAAGTCACATTAAGACATTGCATCCTTTTGTATGTTAGGTTGTGTCATTGAGAGATATACATTATTCCCATAACACCTACTATCTCTTCCTATCAGGGAAGCCTGTTTTATCATCCACATATTAGCCCATATAAAAAAACTCCCTCTATTTACACCTTATAACTCATAGTCAACTCTCCCTACCTTCTGCCGGGGTCCAGCCCCAGAAAGATCCAGGGGAACCCTCAGGATGAACGGTGTCGGCGAATGTGAGAGAGAGAGTGAGACAAAGCTCGGGGCTAAGTCTGAAGTTTATTTTTGCACGGCTCCTTTATACCCTTAACAACATCTTTGGGGGAAGTGCATATTGCTTACACACAGGGCAAATCAAAACATTACAGCAACTTGACCTTCAACAGAAACTGGATGTCACCCACATACGTTTTCGTTCACAAGAGTCTTTCTTATCATTTGGCCTTCAGGCTTGCTAACATTTTATGGCTTGCACCTGGTGTGACTTAAGCAACTTCAGTAGCTGACCCTGTTTTTCTTATAATTAATCTATTTTCTTTCTAATAAGCGTCATCTCTATGGGAACTAGATAGGATTACATTTTTACAGAACAGAAATGCGAAGGACTGCAAAAACAGCAGATATGGCACAAAACAGGCTGTTAGTATAAAAGTTAACTACCTGCAAGAAGTCGCCAGCTAATCTCTATCTAAGTATTTTTTATTAGGCACATTTGTGGCTATCATGTTTGTGGAGCTTTTCTCACCCCATGAAGGGGCCTATGCTTAATAGTTTCTTTTGTTAGCGTACTGTGCTTAGGATGTTTAGAACAATCAAGAGCATTTTTTTGCAGTGAGAGCACATATTTATCACACAAGCCAGAATGCCAGCAAAAGGGTTTGAATTGAAGCATTTCCTTCATCCCTGGCCCCTTCATAGGGTACCAGCGTCCAGGAGATTTATTAATTAGGATTTTAAGTTGGTCTTTATTCAGTGAAAGAGGAGCAGGAGAGCTTTCGGCAGGCAACACAAGAATCCGCAGCAGGGCAAACAAGAACAACAGCAGAAATAAGGGGGGAGGATGAAGGGTGGGGTAGAGGCTGAGGCCAACCTGGAGGGTCACTTATCCTAGACGGCCTTGCCTGTCAGGTTCTTTCCTCGTGACCCCGTCATGGATGGGGTCCCGGACGGCCTTGCCTGCCCGGTATTTTCTTCATGACCTCGTCACGGGCGAAACCCCCCATAACGGCTCCTGGCAACCTTCGGTTCCACATCCTGAGATTTAAGCACCTGTAGGTGGGGTAGTACTACATTTACTATAGAAAAATGTCCACGAGTAAGAGGATCTGAGCAGTTCCATGTCATGTTGGTCAAGAGTGATCTGTATATGTACATATGTATTAGAAGGGATTATTGTGGGAATGGGTTCAAGGGGGCTACAGAGATGGAGAAGTCCCATGGTCTGCTCTCTGTAAGCGAGAGAACCAGGAAATCCAGTTTTATAACTCACACCAGTACTCAGGGCTGAAAACGAGGGAAGCTGGTGATATAACCCCAAGTGCGAGGCTAAACTCTTGAGGACCAGGGGACCACTCATGTAAGCCACAGAGTCTCAAGTCTCAAGAGCCAGAAGCTGCTATGTTCATGTGGAAGAAAAGAAAGAGGGAGAAAAGATAGTATCTTGTTCCATTCAGGCCCCCAGGCATTGCATGAAGCCCTATCACATTGCTGAGGGCAGATCCCTTCACACAGTTGATGGATTCAAATGATAATCTTTCCCAGAATCACTGTCTCAGAAATGCCCAGAATCAATGTCCCATAAAATTAACTAGCACAGTGTCTGTAAACAAGGGCACCCAAATGAAGGCTCCTTGCTGAGGATTCAGGGGCTGGTATTGTTGGTCTGGGGATGGAGAGGGAGCAACAGGTACAGCTTCTATAAAATGGAGGTAATGATGCACACAGGCATACGGGGATCCTTTAGGATCAATGAGATGATGCACACTGAGGCCTTTGCACCAGGTTTGGCATAGAGGAGGAGATTCAATGAATGAGTTGTTTCCTTCTTTTCCCATGATAGTAGACACCCCTAGGATTCTTCATTCTTCAAGATTACCCTTTATTCCTTCAACAGAAAGGAAAGAA